TCATCACTCATCACTCATCACTCATCACTCATCACTCATCACTCATCTGGTTCTACCTTGCTAAGTTACCCTGGATCCCATGAGATTTTGCCTTCTTTATCACTTCCCTATGTGGGAACTTGTGAAAGAAATCCATATAGTGGAGAAAATAGGGAAGGGAAAATTAGTCTTTGTTTAGAAAGGCAGTATTTGATCGGGGATAGTCAGCATAACTTAGGCATGACCTCCCTGACAAACACATCTGGTGGAATTTTTTGAGGAGATGATCAAGTGTTTGGATGAAGGTGGGTTGGTCGATTGTTGTTTATTTGGATTTCAGCAAGGTTTTTGACTAGTTCCTACACGGGCAATCTGATTTTAAAAAAAAAAAAAAAAAAAGGGAAATCTCATGGGATCCAGGGTAACTTTTGGCAAGATGGATCCAAAATTGGCTTAGTGACAGGAGACAGTGGTGGAAGTAAGCTGTTCATGTGACTGGAGCCTGGTATGCATTAGTGTACAACAGGATCAGTGCTGGTTTCTTTCGTGTTTGTGATATTCACAAATGATGTAGATGAGAATGTGGGGGATATGAGTAAGTTATGGATGACACAAAGATTGGCCATGTAGTTGACAGTGAGGAAGGTGGTGTTACAGGAGGATATAAACAGATTGGTCAGGTTAATTTTGATAAATGTGAGGTGATGTGCTTTGGAAGAAGGAACTAGACAAGGAAGTACTTAATGATTATGGCAAGTTCACAGGAACAGGGGGATCTTGGGGCAAATATTTACAGATCTCTGAAGGTGGCACGGCAGGTTAATAAGGTAGTTAAGGCGGCACTCGGGATACTTGCCTTTAACAGTCGTGTCATAGATTGTAAGAGAGGGAACTCGTATTGAAGCTGTACTGAACTTTGGTTAGGCTGCAGCTGAACTGCTGTGTGCTGTTCTGGTCACCGCACTATAGGAAGGCTTTGATTGCACTAGAGAGATGCAGAGCAGATTCACCCAGGATGTAGCTTTGGATGGAGCATTTCAGCTATGAAGAGAAGCTGGAGAAGCTTGGGTTGTTTTCTTGGAGCAGAGAATGTTGAGGGAGTTCCTGATAGAGGTATATAATATTGAGGGACATGGACAAGTTGAACAGAAAGGAGCCATTCCCCTTTGAAGGGCCAGTAACAAGGGGCATAATTTTAAAGTGGAAGGCAGCAAATTTAGAGGGTTTTTGAGAAATAACTTTTGCCCAGGTGGTGAGAGTCCGGAACGCCCTGCCTGAGAGGATAGTTAAGGTGGGAAACCTTGCAACTTTTAAAAGTGCTTGGAAGAGTACTTGAAGTATCATAACATTTAAAGGTTATGGGCCTGGTGCAGGAAAGTGGAATTAGTGTCAGTAGTATATTTTTGCCAGTGCACACTTGATGGGCTGAAGGAATTCCTTTGTACTGATTCTGTGATCCTCTCCCTTTCCCTATTTCTGATCTTGATTTCCCATGTCTCCTCATGTCTTGACAGAACTCCTTTTGTTGATGAGGTCCACTATTGCTCTAAGGATCCTATTCCTACTAACCTGTTGACCACACATTTTATCATTTTAGTTCCCATGTTAACTGACATTAGTCTCAGATACAGATGTTCTGTCTTTCAAATCTACCATTTTCACCCCATTTAAAAAAAAAAAAAAATTACACTTTTCTTTGCAACTACTGGCCTATTTCAAACATCCCTTTCCTCCCTAAAGATCTTGAATGTGTTGTCACCTCTCAAATCAAAGTATGCCCTTCCTGAACTCTGTGAAACCCTTCAATCAGTTTTTATACAAAGAAAATGTATGCTGGCATCTCTTGACAAAGTCAGAAATTACATCCTGGTTGACTTTTTTAAAAGTCTTTTCTGCAGCCTTCGACATGTTTTAAATGTTTTACTTTTGGAAGTTATCAACCCGGCAGAGGCGTTAAATCTGGCAGTTGAGTGTTTTCCTCAGGTCAAGCTACGTGACTGGAAGTAGTTTCAGTCCAGTCTTTCAGCACTGTCAAAGATAGTTCTGTTGCTATGAGAGAGTATTGAGCGTAAGCAACGTATTGATGGCATCCTGTACAAAGGAAGTCATCAATATCCCTTAAGAAATGAGCATACAGATGTTGGAGCACATCTGCATGCACTAAGAAGGAATGATGTCCAGTCTGAGAGAGGCAAGAAAAATGCTTTGGTGACCAAAGATAAGCAATGAGATTAAGGACCACATTAGCCAGTTCATTACTTGTAATGAACATCAAGCTAAGCAGCTGCTCATGACGTACCAGACGGTCAAAATTGGGACAAACTGAAAAGCACAGTTTTCAGTTCGTTTATGGTGATTTTCTTTATTAACCATCTGGGTAATTCGAACCTGAAAAACACAGTGCATGCTTTCTTTTTATAAGGAAAGGGGCAATTGCCTTTGGTCACTTATCATACATGTGATCGATCATGTCATTTTGTGTAAATAAATATTTTAGGACAATAGCTATTTTACACACCACTTGGAACAGCATTGGTGACTTTTTGCCAAAACTGAAATGTTACTGAGTCAGGTGATGGCAGCAAGAAGAGGGTTGGAGGAGAGAGAGATTAAATTACAAAAGGGATATAGATACTTGGTAAAAGGGATAAGATAATAGGACTAGCAAAAAAACAAAATTTAAGACTGGAGGATGTATAAGTGATATCGGAATCATTACAAGAACCTGCTGTCTGAAAATATAAGAAACAGTTTTGATCTGAAATTGTTGAACTTGGTGTTACATCTGGAAGGCTGTAAGATGTCTGATTGAAGATGAGGCACTGTTCCTTGAACTTCATTGCAATAGCATAGGAAGCCAGGAGCAGAGAGCCCTGTATGGGATTAAGAATTAAAATGGCAGGTGATTGGAATCCTGGGATCAAATCAGCAAACTGGAGGAGAAAGCGATCAGTGAAGTGGTCACAACCTGTATTTGAACTCCACGTAGTTAGAGGAGACTTCATCATGAATGGCAAATAATGACTAATAAATTCAGAAAAAAGTGCAAATGAGCTGCTATAGGTTATCCAGGATTCTGTCTATATGCCTAATGTTTAGGTTAAATGTATTTACATGTTGGTAGTGCTGCATTTAGGAATTTGAAATTGTTTAAGTTTCTTTGACCTGTCTGTCTTAAATAACCTACAGTTACTGATACGCTGTTATAATGATTGAAGGAGAATGGATATCCATCAGTGCTAGGATTGTATCTCCAATTCTGTAGTTGCTTTACTTGCTTCTGGGTCACCCTATTGTACAATTAAGCAGAATTTAAAGAGGACAAGCAAATGGAATTAAACCCTTTTGAGAGGTAGCAAATGTGATGGACCATTTTTGTGCTGCAAAGTTCCATATCACTCTTTTAGTTGAGTCAAAGTTTAAATTTCAACTTGCAATCTATGCTTCTTGTAGAGTGAAGTTTTTAAATGTGGATGGAAGCATGAGTGCTGCATATGTATTGCAGCGTTTCATTTGAGTGCCTGTAAATCTACGGGAATGAGGTTTTAAGATTTATAGTATAATTTTATGGAATTGTAATTTGAAATGTGGCTCAGAGGAATGTGAGACAATTTATAAAGTTATGTGGGCGATGCGGCTGGCCATCTGGCGGCAGTTAATGCTGTAATTTTAGATTTTTCTGTTTAAAAATAACTGTCTGACTGTGCCAAACTAGCTGGAAAGAGGTTGAGCAAACATTATACTATAACAGCTGTTATTGCTTCATATTAGTTCTCACATTGCTTGTTGTTTAATGTGATCACAAATAGCATGAAGATTATTTAATCCTTTAAGCGTTCTCTCTATTTGCATTTCTAATTGCTAGCAAACAAAAATATTGGGAAATTGAAAATGTAAAGTTAGCTGCTGTATTCTCAGCACATTATTTAATAGTATCTTAAATACAGTAACACATCAGCCCTGCAGTGTTGCAAGAGATTTGACTGTGGTAGGCAGCCTATCAGAATTAGAAATGCAGGAAAAATACTTTGCAATAAGTCCATCTTAATATTTTGCAAAACAAAAATGCTGCAAAACGATTATGAAGAATGTAATTCAAATATATACTCGATATTCTTTTAACTTCATGAACCATGTCTTTTTTTCAATTTTTGCAAGTGTTCTGTCAATTTCCTGGACAATTCCTTCAGATTCCATCACGATGGCGATTCTGCAGAGTCCTCCGTGCACACCTCTGATCTGTGCTGAAATGATGATTGTCTAGCCAGCCGAAAATCTGGGTCCCTCATTCTCTTTGCCCTGTATTCACTTTAGTTGCTCCTTAAGCTTGGAAATCTGAGCTCAGTCAAGCATCTGGAGACACTTCTAATGCCTGATCCCTGAAGATTAAGGAAATCTTTTGACTTCTCCATATCCTGCATGAATTCCAGCAATAGGTCTCAGCTTGCCCATTCGTGATCATAGAATAAAAATGTTTTCTGAGTTAGGTGGTACCTTTTATAAACTATTAATGATAATGAATATCTCCATGACTCTGTGCTAATACTTTTTATAATTCTGTTATACTTCAATTTTATTTATTAAGCTAACCTGTAAATTTGGTATGGTACTTGAGTTTCATAGTGCTGGTTTAAGCCACTATCTTGGTTTAGAGTTCCGTTTAAATTACCACCCAATTGCCTACCTGCTACCTTTTCGTGTCACTTTTTTTTTCGTAAACACCCTAAAAATTCTAGTCTACTCCAGATCTGATTTATCTACCAAAGCTACTCATTTTGTCAGGTCTGTTACCTGCTTCCTTTATCTGTTACTGATTCCTGACTTAGTGGACTTCGATTGAGTACATATCATTTTGTGTGCTGTGTCAATTGTATGTTGGAACAAAAAATTATTTTCAAAGCAGTAATTTTGTTTGAGATTTGATTACTTTTACTTTTCATTTTTTTGCAGCTGAATTGGAAACAGAATTTCAAGAGTTAGAGGGTCACTTGCTTCACCTGGAGGATACCTGTGAACAATGTGAACTTGAGCGATATAAACAGTTACAGATCATTCAGTTGGAAAACCACAAGAAACAAAAGAGGTAACTAATACAAATTTATTATGACACAATACTGCCTATATTTCTGGTACTTGAGGGAATGCTTGAACAATGCAGCATGAAGATGATCATTTGAAGCTTTCATGGAGTAAGAATTCTGGCTGTTTGTGTTTTTTTTTCTTGGTTCCCCGGTTCTCCAGGTTAATGTCTGAAGTGAGAATGTAGGCATTAGGAGACAGTTAGTTTCTTTGCAAAAGAGGAGTTTGGGATGTTTTTTGAATTGGAGAAGGACTTGCCACTGTAAGAGCAGTGATGGCAACTTGTTGTGTCAGAAGATGCATGGAAATGTGGCCCATTCCTGTTTCTAATGGGACAAAGAGCCTAAGTTAAGGTTTACGTCATTTTTTTCAGATTAATGGGTTGGAGGTGTCATTCTGTTGGAACATCAGTGTTGACATGATGAAGCTTGAGAATGACAATTTGCATTTATATAACTTCACAGATGCAAAAGGAGACCGATTAAAGTTTGGGTTTTAAGAAAGGCCTCAAAGGATTAAAATGTGGAGAAGCAAAAGGATCTTGGGAGGAAATTCGAGAAGAAACTGTTTTGGGGAAATGTTTTATATATAAGGCACAGAGCCCAGAGGCAGTTTAAACATGAGAATGTGAATTTGGACACCAGAAGACTTGGAGGGAGTGGAACCTAATATGTGGAATAGGATTTTGGATAAGTAGTAGTTGACCACTGTTAGAATCAACTTGTGATAGTGGCTGGGCAATAGATATAAGTGGTAGTAAGTATATGGAGTTTGTGGTGGGGGCCAAAGGTGATGGCTTCAGTCTTAACACAGATGGTGAAAGAGTTGAGACAAGTGGTACAAGGGTTGAAATAGGTATTGTGAGCATACAAGTGGTAGCTGGCTCCATTTCTGAGGCATAGGCTCTTTGACATTCCAGAGGTAAACTTTGCTACAATGGTACCAAGAAAGGATGGTATGACTTCACTGAGAAAAAGTGGCAAGACATTAGAAGAGAATGGTGTGGGTGACCATATAAAAGACTTTGTGGCTGGGGTCATCTCACTGCTCTAATGAGCAGGAATCTGATTAGTAAGATTCAACCAAGCAGTTGGAGAAATGATGGATGTGGGTTTAGGAAGTGAAGGTATTTTCAAAGGGCTTTAGAGGTGGAAGTGAAATTAGCGGTTGAGGAATAGTTTGCAAGCACAGATGTGTTGAGAATGTTATAAAATGAAGACTGATTGAGGAGATCAAACCTTTTATAATGCCAGCTAGCATGGACACCAGGAAATGATATTTGGTAGTCAATTAAAATATATTTTACATGAAGTATTGGATTTTCCAAAATCTATGCATGTCGCTCAGTTCTCCTAATGGAACAAACTCCACACTGTATCCACCAACTCTGTCCCCCTCCCAGGTCACCGTTAAGGTTAAACTAGACATTTTACATCCCTGAGTACTATTTGACTCTGAGCCAAACTTCTGATCCTATTAGAGATTTTTTTTATTTTTCAATAGTTGTCTTGAAATTTGCATCATTTATAAATGCCACATGCACTTATTCACATCTTTTTTTTTTCTCAAAACAGAAAAAAAATTGAAGCTTTGAAAGGTAGGGTTTCTTATTTGATTATCTTGCTTTTGATGCCTGTTATGATAGCAAAGAGATTACTTTATAGGGATTTACTGCCGGGGACAACTGTTGTATCCAGTTTATAAATTGATTGCTCGTGTGCTTTTGAAGGGAGCAGTGAACAATCCTAATGGGAAAATGACGTTTTCACCACTTGATCAAATGGCTGTCACTGTCTTGCCACTTTGAAAAGATCCTGAGCAACTGTAAAAGGAAAAATTCCTTTTACAGTTGATTTTAGCTATTAAGAAGTGTGGTTGAACTTTTGTGCCCCTTTTCATTGAAGGGTCATAATTAGATTTAAGTTTAGTGTCGCGTATATAAAAGTCAGTGAAAAGTGACTTTTCGCATGTTAGACGCAAAGTGTTGCTGCACTCTGGCGCCATGTTGAAACACAAGGTAATGCAAGATTGTATTGCAAATAGAGTTCATTTTTCTCTCTTTTCCTTCTTTGCTGTTCCTCCAGTCACTGCTTGATGCTGGCCAGGGGCTTTGGAATGTGCTTCTGGGTCTCTACAACAGGCTCTGGGGTCTCGGTTCGTGACCACTGTATCGGAGTTGGAACCGTGAGCCCGGTAATGTGCAGGTTCCATATTTCCTGTCCACCATCCGATGCTCCTCCAGAGGCCGTCACCGGTCATTCGGGTCCTGCTCCTTTAGGTTCCTGGATCCTTGGCTCAGCCTGCAAGTCTGGGCCAGGGGAATTGGCCCGGTCCCTGCTCCTTGCTCGCCAAGAGACCCCGGCCTGGGGTGGAGCCATGTTGACTCATCCTGGCGTTGCTGCTGTCAAAGCGGCATCCTTCACCCACCACTTTCTAGGCTTCAAAGAAAAGAAAAAGAGTAAAAACAAAAAGAAGAAAAGAAAAAGAGACAAAGCAAATGGGAGTGGATGAGCCCTGGGCTCAGCCCTGCTACTCCTCCACCATCTGCATATCATGGACAAAGATAGAAACATATCTTAAGTTCTGGTCTGGTGGAGAATCAAAAAATCAGGTCTTAATTCCTAAGCCACGCCCCGACCCACTGCCGGCCATAAAGTTAATTTTTAGTATAACCCATGCAGCGATGGCAGTAATGCCATGCAGGGCATCTATGGTGTCAATGGTCACTGATTTGTAAAACCAAAAATTGCATTACCCATTTCTGGCTCGTTCAGACCTTGAGCAGACCCAGTTGGAATATTTTAGTTAGAGGTAAGGTAAATGCTGGAATAAGTCTGCATCTGGATAATTCTCTTCACAGTAACTGTATAATAATTTAATATAGTCATTGTAATAATCACTGCTCAAAGTCAAAAGCTGAAGTTGTTCTGAATATCTATTTCCTCCTTTCCTAATTTTAGTGTATGGAGGAAGCTTTGTTATCTTTGTGATCATACAGCACTTGATTGTTTTGTGTAAACTATTTTTGCTGTGATCAGGTTACTTAACGACTCTTAACTTCCTGAAAAGTTTTAGACAAGTTTCCAAGTCCCCACTGGAGCTATACGGTTGATTGCTTCTGGCCACTATCTTTTATTACGTAAATCAATTGGAATCTTCCAAGCTAACATGTTCTGTATTGAGTACTTTTTTCTTTAGTTATTAGCAGGAAATAGTGGACATTCCATTTAATATATGTAATACATTTGTGCAAAGGATATTGAAGAATCCACTTTAAAAATATTATGTCTCAGTAATTTGGTCATCAGGTATCTTGTACTATTATTTATTGGCTCTAATTTCTTACAACCTAGGCTGGAAGGGTGTGCCATCACTCTAGTCCCACCACACCACGGGTCACAACATAAAATAAAAATAATTACTCCAGTATCAATATGACTAATTAAATCTATATCATGTTTTAAACAGCAAGATCAATTAACACAGTTTCTTAATAAACACAATTAGCCTAGTATCAAAAACAAAACTTATTCAATACAGATGCAATGATTCACTATCCTGCATGGTCAATAATTTAGAAGCGTAACTACTTAATCTTCTGAATATATCCAAGAGGCAGATGCACACTTTTTTCCAAAGGAAAAGGATTTATGCTTCTAAATTATTGTTATCTTTTACGTCAAAATTATAAAAGTAAAATAAAACTTGAGCAAAGATAGTTCCATTGGGATGACTATAATTACTTGGATCGTTGGAATTATGTGTCATGACATATAATGGCACGATAATGACACACATCGTTGTTATTCATTTTGAAAAATCTCTGAGCAAGTTCAGGAGATTTCAGGTGAGTTGCAATCGCCAGAACTTGCTGGTCCATTTATTTCTTTTGCTTCATGCATTTTGCAACACACCTTTGGTGGCCTCTTTAGGGAGAAAACAATAGTGTTTATGGTTTACATGAGTTCCTTCCCCTCAACTTCATCTGAACCATATCCTTATTCCTTTCTCTCTCGTGGGCTTAATTAAACTAGATTGCACCTAGGATACTCATTCACTTGGTAGCAGATTGCACATCCCAACCACTTTGATTAAAGAAGTTTGTCTTGAATTTCTTCTTGAATTTATTTGTCTTGTATTTATGACCCCTAATTTTGGAATACCCCACAAACTGACAACATTTTTTTCTTAATCGCCCTATTAAACCCCTTCAGAATTGTCAAGACCCCTGTGAGGTCACCCGTTAGTCACCTTTTGCTAAAATAAAGAGCTCTGTCTGCTCTGGTATTAGTAACTCCAGATGTATATAAATTAATTGGAGGATGGATTTAAACTCTAAATGGAGAACAATAGCACAATGATATCGGTGCAGATTGAGAAAAATTGATTGCAATTTATCTTGTTTCCACTGGGTTTGGTGCAAATCAGTTCTATGTATTGAGTCTGACAATGCTCAAATGTAAATGGGAGTTAATTTTATAAGAGATGTACAAACTGGCAATGGGGATAAAGAAACCTTCAAATACTTCAGTGTGTGATTAAAGTTAGAGCATTATGATGTGCAGTGGTGTGACTAATATTTGCACACTGGCTCAGCAACTTGGCCAAAACCCATTTATAACTTCATGAATGTTCCCAGCCTCCTTGATTAGCCAAGATGTCATCTTTCTTGTGTTATTGTCCCTAAATTCACTGCAGAAAGTTCAAGCCAGAACTTAACTGTTTCTTACCTTTTTAAAAGCATGATAACTAGTGTAGAAAAGGATCATATTGAATTATTGAATTTTAGTTCTATATGTGAACAATCAAATATTATAAACTCTGTCAAAGGTTAAGTTTTTCTTTTGTTTTGTTTTCTCTTTTTTTATGTCACTTGATCTATCTTTCTTTCCATCTCAATTTCTCTTTCCTTGATGTGACTCAAATTTATCTTCCTCTTCAACCATCCTTGTTTCATTACTTATCCTTTAAATTTAATCAGTTGAAAATCGCTCATTAATGTTCCAAGTGCTCCATTGCTGTCCCATTATCAGCTTCCATTTTCAGAAAGTTACAGTGCAAAACAATTTTTCACTGGAAGGTGCCAGAAAATGGATACCTTGCCAGATGCTCTATTCCAGCAAATTCTGAAGTAAATAATGTGTAGAATTATGGGTCTTTCTGCAAGAACATTTAGTCCCATCACGAGTGTTGTATATTGTAGTTGAGCTTTGTCTTTCTTTGAAAGTAGAATTTGAGAGATTGGGCAACTCTTGTTTTCATGATTTTATAACTCAAAAGTGCGCTAGGTGTGAGTCCAAAGGTCAATTGAAGTAGTTTGCACTTACGCTTGTATGTAAAGATATTGTGATTGTAAGACAGAATTTGAATTCAGTTCTGTTGGTCTCATAAATTGCAATAATAAAATTTCAGAGATTAAAAACAAATTTCTGGAAAAATCCAGCAGAGAGAGAGAGAGAGAGAGAGAGAGAGAGAGAGAGAGAGAAGACCAACATGCTTCTGCTTTGGATCTGAAAGGGGGTGGCAAATAATGTTTCTTTATGCTATTGACAAAGGAAAAGGGGAGCAAACATATAGGATGGTAAGGGTGCCCAATGAAAAATGCAAATAGAGTCCTGATAGTAGATTGAGATATAAATTCAGAATAGGTGTTAGTGATAGGAGTTAATTGCAGGAAAAAGATCTGGTCTGCAGAAAGCAAACCCATGTAAACAAGACATTAGGGAGAGCGAAGTGCGGAGGTGAATCAAAATGAAGGACAGTGTTTATGATCTGATGTTGAAATCAATGTCTTCCATTGCGAACCATTTCAACTCCCCCTCCCACTCCCTGGGCGACATGTCCATCCTGGGCCGCCTCCAGTGTCACAATGACACCACCTAGAAACTGGAGGAGTAGCACCTCCTGTTCAGACTTGGGAACCTACAACCCAATGGTCTCGATGTGGACTTTACCAGTTTCAAAATCTCCCTACCCCCATCCCACTGACCAACCCCTACCTGCACTCACCTATCACCGTCCCAACTACCTTCCCCAGCCCCACCCCTCCTGTCTATTTATTTCAGAGCTCCCTTCCCCCTCTCCCATTTCTGAAGAAGGGTCCCGACCCAAAACGTCAACTTTCCTGCTCTTTTGCTGCCTGGCCCGCTGTGCTCCTCCAGCTCCACACTGTTACCTCTGACTCTAGTATTGGTAGTTCTTACTATCTCTTACATAAGTACTGTTTCTTTTAATATTTTTTTAATTGTGAACTGAAATGGGAAAAGAACTGTTTTAAAAGCCAAAGATTGAAGGATTACTATACTTTTTTTTAAAAAAAACAAGTTACCTGACATTCATTGTAAGTACTGTTTACACAGCTGTTAGTGCAAACATTGGAGAAAGCCTAGATAAAGATGAATTGGAACCTGGGGCCTGTGTATGAATGGACATTTGATGGGCAACAAGTAGCTGATCAGTCTGTGAAGTGACCAGTTAACAATGACAAATGCCTCTGGCCTGCAACAACTGTTTGGCTCTGGTGTGACTCACTGGGGTAGTGGGCTGGAAATAAAGCCCTGCTTTTCCTGGAATCATCACAAAAGTTAAATTTTTTTTAAATATGCAGAATTCCCTAATTTACCTAATTTTCAGACCCAGGTTGACAGAAAGCATGGATCAGGTTTCTGTACTTAACAAGAATTGTTATTTATTATATGTAAAATGACTCTAGCTATTGGTAAACAAATATAATCTGTCAGCATATAACTCTACTGGTCAATTCCCTAACCTCTTTATAAACTCATCCTTACACACATGCACAGACAGAGAATAAACATGGGTATATGAACAGAAGGAAGGACCAGGTAGGTGGTTCAGTGGTTGGAGTTTTAACTAGCATAGTTATGTGCCAACAGTTCATTGTTGTTTATCTGTAGTAAGAGTTTAATTATTTGTAATAAATAGTAATTATCATCAAGTGCAGAAACCTGATCCATGCTTCTGTCAACCTGGACCTAAATGACAGTTAAATTGAGAAATTCTGTGTACATTTAAAAATCCTTAACTTTGTGATGACTTCGTAATAACAGTGCTTGATTTCCAGCAAGCCCTCAGTGAGTTATAACAAAATTTGGGAGCTTGGCCATGATTGATTTGAGGCATTAAACAATGCTGATCTGGATGTGATATTAGTAAATAACAAAAGTAAAGAAGGAAGAGCCAGGCTCTGTACTGCATTTAAGGTATTGCTTTGGAAATAGCAAAGAATTTCCTGCAGGTGGCAGAGTTGTTCTTGGCAGTCTTAAAGGATCATTCAAAGATCAGGCTAATTGACTTGGCAAATAAACTGGAGGTAGCATTGCCTGGCAGAGCTATCAAGGAAGAGATCATTGAGGCGTTGGCATGGCATTTTTATTTAAAGGAAATAGAAGAAACAAGTACAAGAGAAACACAAGATGCAAAAATGAGTATTATACAAATACAATACAATAGTTTACTTGCTTTGTATTCTGGGGAGTGACTATCGAAATCAGGTGATATTCAATTAGAGTTAAAGCAGCTTGAAGATGAGAGAATTAAGAAGCTAAAGATAGCAAAAAAAAAAGACAGGAAGCAGAAATGAGAAAATTATTACTACCATTGGAACTCTGTCTTTTTCTCTGGACACCTTCACCATCTGTTCTACTTGCGTCTCATCCTACTTTGTAACATTATAAAGTTGATCATTTCCAGCCTCCTTTGCTTCTGAAAAAGACTCCTATTGAACTGAAAATGTTAACTGTTTCCCTCTTTACAGATGATGTAAGACCTGCTGGGTTTCTCCAGCATTTTGTTTTTATTTCAGATCTTTAGCATCTGCAGTATTCTATTTGTACAGAAGTTCAGTGACCTTTGCAGATGTTAGTATTTACTGTATTCAGTTCTTTGGACATTGAAATGGTCTAACTTTACTCCATTTTAACAGGCTGTATTATGCAGCTGATTACTTAGCATGTGACCTGTAATACAAAGGTAATAAGGGGAGAAAAATCATGTGATGGTATGAAGCATTATTAAACTAGGTCCAGATCTCTCCACAGAAGAACACTGGAGAATATGCTTAATGCTAAATAAAATGCTAATTTTTTCATGCAATGTTTTTAGATTTTGTCTTTCAAATTACATTTTACTAAATTTTTTGAAACACCTTTATAGTTCCATATGTCATAACACCTAATGATCTGAACAATCTTATGATCATGCTAACAAATTTCCACATCACTTTTTGTCCTACTCTTTGTATTTTTGTGTTTTTTTTTAAATTTTTCAAATGCTATTGTGCTGGTACTTATATATTTTTGCACCTT